ACTATGAAGACTTGACAGTTGGTCATGGTGGCTAGGCGCATAATTATTTTTTGTATAGGAAGGGGTGTCCTGGGAGGTGGTAGGTCGATAATATTGGTAAATTGAATAGAAATCTAGTGATAGTTGAAATTTACAGTAAGATGGACATAACTTATTCTTTACCTTTCTATTTTTTTCTATTTACTGTTATTCGACCTAATAATAACGAACTCTAGCAGCTATGTTAATGGTTGTTGCGGTAGTGCATGATGTACATTCACACCACTACAGCATCAATGATAGTCAATTCACTGACACATAGAAAGGATAAAAAAAAGCAAAAAAAGCGTGACGTATCGGATCACCTTAACGCTTCTATACAGCTGTTATCCTGCTGTTTAGTTGTGTGTGAACTTGAAAGGCACTTACTCAACCTTTACCCGATTATCCAATAATCACTACATAACTTTCCCTTAACGCCAGGTTAAATATTGTTTACGCTTTTTTTTTTTTGTTGGGGGAATTTATCATGTTTATTTTACTGTGAATTAAATTAATCGAAATTATTTATAAGCACACCACCAAATTATTTTCACTGTACCGGAACCTGGAATTGAACTCGAGACGACCGCATTGGCGAACCTTGATACTACCAACTTCGCCAACACTTTGAACTGACGTAAACCAATTCACATGCCTTTCTACAACAAGATTGCTGAGTAGGCTTTATAATAGTGCACATGAATCACTTTTCTTGACTAGTCAATTCAGCTTTATAAAGAAGCAGAGTAAAAGCTGTAAAACTGCACAAGATTAAAAATAAACCTAGTTGACTGTAAAATAGCTTCCAAAGTAGCGCTAACACAGTGAATTAGTTGAGTAAAGGTTGTTTAGTTGTTGAAAAAGCACTTTTGATGTTTATGATATTCTGTTAGAGTTGTTGCTTATTTAGAAGTCATCTAATAAGTAATATATTCGCTTTATTAGCTTTGTTTTGAAGCTAAAAGTTGAAAGTTGATTAATATTTTCATAGAAGTTACATTAGCGTTTATTGGGGGATGTTATTCAGTGCGTCTGACAAATTGAATAATGGTTGTGAAAAAGTTCAGTTAACGCTTTCCAAAACAATTTTGCAAACTTCTGCTTGTAGCTGTATCTACAGCACAGAACAGAAGGGGAAGTGCAAATAAATCGGTGAATCAAAAAGTGGTTCGTTTTTCTGCTCAACAAGCGATGTGTTGTGGTAATGTTCCACATGGGCTTTCTATATGCACTCACACTATCATAGCATGCTGCCTATCTTAACTGCAGGCAGAAGATGCCTTCTACCGCTAGGTGCGCTAGTGTTCGCAAATGACAAGTGGAGCCACTTTCAGCTTTGTTTCAGCTACTTTACAGCACAACGCTGGAAAGCCCAGCAAACAATTTAAGCTGCAGATTAGCTTATACAGCCAAAATATGCCTTATGCAGCTAATTTTTGCCTGTATAAGCTAAGCTGCAGCTAAAATTGTTTGTTGGGAGGTTGGCTTATAATGCTGAAAATGTTAGTTGGGCGGATCACTGCGAATTAAAATCGGCCGTTTACGATTTCGGGCGTAAGTCAGAATTAAGTGTCATGTCGGTTTATCGGTGCTATGGGTGTTGGGAAACTTTGTGATATTAGCGTCGTTTTGTCGTTTCTGACTCTGGTCTTTATACCGGCCTATCTCTACGTTTGGTGTTGGGGGATTATCTGTTTTTCTTTCGACGTCTGATTGGGGTGAGGATGATATGGGGATAAGCATCAGAAACGACGAAGTGACGTTCCTTTACTAAAGTCCCTTAACTGTCAATTCAAAAGTAGTTCTCTTTCTACTTTTAAAAGTTGAAACTTTCAAATCGAATGGTAGAACTGGTCGCACCTCTCGATCAAAGCTGGAATAATTTGCTCCTGACGGACTCGGTGTGGGGGTACTTGAATGAAAGTGGCATCTTGATGGTGGTGGGAGTAGCCTTCATTTCCGGTAAGGCTGAGCTCGAGACTGAGGCTACTGAAAATTAAAACACCTAAATTAGAACAATCGAAATTTCTTTGAAAATTTCCGTAACTTACCATCAATTCCAACCAAAAGTGTGTTTCTTTTGCCCGAGAGCGTCACCATTGCCTCCATGTTATGATAGAGTTTCATCTAACTTTTTGGCTCAGCTCTGGTACTCTCTTCGGTCCCAAGCTAATCGATTCAGCCCTCGGAACATAGGAAAATCCAATAACCCCTCATTTCATCTGTCAAACTTTCATAGCGAATCAAAACAAACATTGTGTAGTAGTAGTAGAATTTTGACTAGAATGGGATACGTTAATCGATTTGCTTGGGACCAATATAGGCTAGTCAAGTAGTGAGCCAATTTGAAATCGTTAGTTTCGTATTGATTGTTGCTAATAGTATGTTCAGACTACAAAGTTATAACATGTTATAGCGCTATCTTGATGGTGGTTTCTGTGTTGCAATTATTTGACAACCGTTATAACATGTTATAACCAACAATCAATTCGAAACTAACGATTTTAAATTGGCTCACTACTTGACTAGCCTATTGGTCCCAAGCATACGATTAACGTACCCCATTCTAGTCGAAATTCTAGTACTACGCAATGTTTGTTTTGATTCGCAATGCAAGTTTGACAGATAAAATGAGGGGTTATTGGTTTTTCCTATGTTTCGAGGGGTGAATCGATTAGCTTGGGACCAGGGGGTAAGTCACTCTGCCACCTTGTGTTTGTGCTTATTGTGTTTCATGTGTGTTTTTGGGTGTCGGAAGGTGTTTCTGGGTGCTTCATCGTATTTACGGAGTTGTCAAAACTTCAACAGAAAAAATAAATTTACTGGCAACCATATCCTCGATCATAACATAACGCTGAAAATGACAGACTCCCTGCGATTCCTTTGCTGTTGTTTGTTTAAAGAAATAGAACAACTGGCGGGAGGATTATTTGGAGCTAAAATGACCTCAGCCCCGAGCACCGGATATCAGAGTAAGACATGGAAAAGACCGCCAGCTATACCACTGACTTGCTGCTTCAGAATCAGTAATAGAGTTCCATAAGCGTTTCGCAACTGTAGAGATCCAATTTTAATCAGCAGCCACTACCGTTCAGGGTTACTTGTCCACAAATTAGTTCTTGACACGGGCATTGGTCCTCTCGCTGCAGGAGGAAGACGAATGGGTACGTGCCAACCGAGAAGAAAGATCAAGCAAAGGGTACATTTGCAATTAATTGGAGGGGCCGTGATTGGGATGCCGCTGGTGAGAACCTAGGATTTACAATCAGAAACTTTTTCGTTGCGGTTGTAGTGGTTTTCTTGCAAGACATCTTTACATTTTTTAGCATCCTGATGCCGCTACTTTCGTGGATCCTAACCGGTTTAGTATTTCCTTTTCTTTGGATTGGAGGTTTTCAATCCAGATCAAGAAATTTTTCCTTTCAAGGCAGAACGGTTCGACGTTTTTTTCAGGTTTTTTTTTTCAAAACAAAATATCAATCGAATGTAAACATTATTTGCAGTGGTGCCAGAATTGATTAAAAAATTGCTTGTCATGCGGCGAAAGGGTGCTTGAAGTGTGTCGAAGTGTGTTTCTGTGGGTGTTAGCACAATGTGGCAGAGTGACTTACCCCCTGCTTGGGACCGAAGAGAGTACCAGAGCTGAGCCAAAAAGTTGGGCACGTTATTTCGGGACCGTCTGGTCTTAGAGTTACCTCTATGTTATAACTCTCCAGTCTGAACAAGGCATAAGTGACAATGGCATATAAACCAGCACAGTTTCTATGGCTCAGCTGGGTTTTCAATCACAATAAAAAAAAATACGTTGGTGAAATAGGAACGTAACCAAACTGTATTAGAGTATTAGAGGGCTCGAGCACTTCTAGCTAATAGCAACAATCAATACGAAACTAACGATTTTAAATTGGCTCACCACTTTAGTAGCCTATTGGTCCCAAGCAAACGATTAACGTACCCTATTCTAGTTGAAATTCTATTACTACACTATGTTTGTTTTGATTCGCTATGAAAGTTTGACAGATAACATCAGGGGTGTGTGGATTCATGCAGAACATGCAGGGGTGAGTGAAATAGCTTGGGACTGCTTGGGACCGTTGTTCTGGTACTGAGTGAGCCAAAAATAATAATGATTTTCTTCGGGACCCAGTGGTCTTAGAGTTACCTCTATGCTAATAGTACGTTCAGACTACAGCGTTATAACATGTTATAGCGCTATCTTGATGGTGGTTTCTGTGTTGCAATTATTTGACAACCGTTATAACATGTTATAACTCTCCAGTTTGGACAGCGTTTAAGAGCTCTTTTGGGCAGGAATGAAAAGAAAAATAGCAAAACCAATTATACACATGCGACAGTTTTCAAGCAATTTTTCGTTGGCTTACAAAATAAAATCGATTGACTTCGCAGTACCAAGGTACTCGCTTTTTATATTTTCTCATGCATAAACCATTTTTATGCTAAGTTCGTATTATCTCTCTTTATATGGACCTATGCGTCGGTCGCGAGAATAGCTTTAAATCTTTTTACATTTGAATATCTTTTGAGTGTTGATGAAGTCAGAAAGGTGATTAGCGTAGCAAGCAGCTAACTTCTTAAGCATAGTGATGAATTATTATTAATCAACATGTAATACGATGTAATGTATAAATATACATCTAAAACTGATAACTTTTTAATCATAGCAATACGCAGCTTAATCAAATAAAGCTTAAATTTTATACTATGTTGAATTAGTCATATTTTTGAAGAGAAAGTCGATGAAAAAAAAAAATCGATCATCACAGTTAGGCTCTGATGATTCTAAACGCTAGTTTATTACCACCGAATGTACACATTCCTTCCCCCCGCATAAACAAGCACGCGTGTTTGGCGCGCAAACAGCCGCAACTTGACAGCTGTTATGCCGTCGCGCACGCACACATCCAAACAAACGAGCATCAATTTCTCGTGTTGTAAACAACAAAATTCTTTGTGTCCGCAGTAGCATAATAATCGGGATTTATTTTCGTAAATTATAAAGGTTTAATCGCCAGTTATCCGCTGGAAAATGCCTGCAAAGTGACCGCGAATGCTTCCTGGTTCGAGTGTACATAGCGAAGAGTGTGAAGATCAGCGACGATGGAAGTTATTCCCAATTCTTATATTGCTCGGGTTGTTTTAGGTGAGTGGTGGTGGTGGCGCTGGGGAAAATTTCTCATCTAAAACCAAATAGTAATGGAATTCGATTCATTGTAGCCTATCTGTACGAGGAGAAGCTAAACAAGGCGGCGATCGAATTTTGCATGGCCAGCCCCTACCTGAAGGAGGAACGGGATTTCGTCAAACGAGGGTTCCGTCCAGCGACCTGTATTAGTTTGAAACTGACGGCACTGTTTCGGGAGTACGGCGAAATTCAGCAGAAATGTGAGGGCGATTGATTTTGGGATTGTTGATTATTGACGACTAGTTTATTTTTTCTTTTAGTGGACAGCTTTGTGGAAAAGTACGACGTTGAATTCGACGTTCAGCCAGATCTACCGCTGGTGAGGAAGATTGATGTGATTTTGTCACTGCTGAAGCAAGTCCGCCACAGGAGGAGGCATTCGGGTGAGGAGAAGGTGGTGGTGAAGAAAGAGCCCAGGAAGTCGGCGGGGAGCTGCAAGAGGAAGCGAGGGGCTCCTTCACCGCATCCGTCGCTTTCCAGCAGTACGCCGGAAGTGGGAGAACCGAAGCAGAAGCGTGTCTGTACGAATCCGGCGTTTATTGTGCTGAATGACAGTGGGAAGAATTTGTCGAACCTGTCGAACATTTCGCCGATTGGGGGGGAAGGGGATAGTTCGCAGGATTCGGACAGAGAGGATGAAGTTGAGGAAGAAGTACCGGAGAAGGAACAGGAGGAAGAGGAACCGCTGGACGTGAGGAAATTCCCATCTATTGATTTGTTCTCACAGACGCTGCTAGAGAATGAAAATTATTCGGAGAAGATTGCCGATTTGATCAATAAGGGATTGGAGTCTTCCATGAGCACTCAACCGGATGCCAAAGAGGGTACCAGTGCTATTAGAGAGGAACCAGTTGAGGCCGAGACGGTAGAGAGCGAGTCAAAGGCCGATTGTCAATCGTTTAATTTTAATTTTGATGAGTTGATCTCGAATATAGTGAATAATGCTGTAAAGGATCCGGTGTTTGATGATATGATGGATGACATCAGCAGCAAGGCTATCAAGACGCAGAATGGGAACGAGGTGGAAGAGTCGGAAACTGTGCCTCCACCGGAGACGCCGTTGAAAGAGAGGCTCAGGAAGACCTGCAGGAAGAATTACAATCCATGCGCGGTGAAGCGGTCTGTCAAGCAGGTTAGGGTAATCTCAGATGAACCGTACTACGGAGGGTTTCCGGAAGGGGTGGACGTTGAGAACTCTCAACCGGCGACGATGGCCGTCGTGAAGGTGGAATCATTCGCCAGCACGTCCGCTGATTTGGATCAATCACAGGACTCTATAGCAGATCCACCGGAAACGGTGGCTGTTCAACCGGAAGTCACCTCAACGGCAGACCCACCGGCTACTGCGGCTGCTACTACTCAATTTTATGTGATTCAACCGGATAACACCACCAAATTGGTTGATATCAACCAGCTGCAGTTCCCTACTCAGCAATCAGGCTTGCTAACCGACCCGACGGCAACGGAATCCGGAAGCACACTGATTCCCATTACTGGAGTCGGAATTCCGGAGCATACCTACTACATCAACGTCCCGAACTGCTATCTGGACCCCAACACTCAACTGCCGGTGTACTTCAATACCTTTCCGGGACCGGTATCGGAGCAGAATCCCACCATTTCCATTCTACCGGACGTATTACCTAGCCCGGATAAGTTCCTTATATTCCCATCCTCTTCGTCCGGTACCAATCCGGTTATCAGTGATGTCTGCACCATGTCAGCCGTCACCAACACTGTTAGTACATCGCCGTCTACCGCCGCCATGAACAGTATCTACTCGACGTTTGTCCCATTGGTTCCCAAGCCGGAAGTGAAGACCACTCCTCCGAATAGCATCATCCAAAACACAAAAGCCCGCAGCAACTCCACTCCTAGTCGCAAAGCGTCCCACATTCGGATCTTGAACTTCCACACCCCAGCCAAACAGCCTGCACTAGTCGCGGGCACTTCGGCTAGAATATCGACTCCCGGTTCCGCCCCTCCCTCCGTCAACACTCGACCAAGCCGCATCCCTGTCGTAGATCTCCCTCGACTAGATTCCATCCTCGAAACCAGTATCAAACAGGAACCTCGGAAAACGCCGGAAAAAATATCCGACGATTTGGATCCCGCTCCACTGATCCCCGCCTTTAATCCCAACTCCGTCTCTAATACACCCCGCGTATCCAAAGACCCACGAACCTGCGTTCGCGTCCTGTCCGAATCGGCTAGCGATGAACCCGTCGAAATCGCCATACCCACGGTAGAAATCCCTGCCTCAGTGGTAGCAGAAACCTGCAAAAAGACCCCCACTCCGAGGGTCCAGATTAGCGATGCCGAAATGGAAGAATGGCGACGGATTCGTTCCGTGTCCAAATCCAACTTCGACCAGCATCTTCGGATGATGGAAGAGCAAAGACAAAAGCCCATTATCCGGCCACAGCTTCGCAGAAAACGAAAGAAACCACCAACTCGGAAGGCCCCGGGGGCGGCAGCCTCAAAAGAACCATCGGAAGAAGCTACGCCCTCGAAGGATGACTCACTGGAATCGCTGGATAAAGCGAATACCAGTTTGACGGAAATCCACGGCCAAATGCTGGAGGATGCCCTGGCTTCGGCAAAGAAACCGGAAGCCGGGAAGACCCCAGGCAAGACGCCGGCGAAAGCGAAGACTCCGGCCAAGGAGGACGGCAATGGTGGGGGAGAGCAGGGAAATAAAATCTACGTGAAGATTGCAACTCCCCGGAAGAAGACTCCGCTGAAGACGACACCGAAGCGGAAGTCCGCGAAGAAACGTCGGCTTAGTAGTCCCAGGAAGAGGGTGGCCGTGAAGAAGAAAGAGGATAAGCCGAAGGCTTTGGAGCAAAAGGAAACTGTTGAAAATTCTGAGGAAGTGAAGGTCGAGGAAAAAGAGCCGGATGTGATCGTGGAGAAGGAACCAGAACCGGAAACGCCTGCTAAAGCGGATGATAACTCTCTTTCTCAAGTAGAGGCCACACCGCCGGAAGCTCCCAAACCCATAAAGGACCATCCGAAGTTGCTGGCAAAGAAATCCAGTGCGGAATATGTTCGCAAGGAACAGGAGAAGGCAGCGGAATCAGCCAGCACTGCCGCTAGTCTGGAAAGTCCTCCGGAGAAACCTCCTGCAGTCGCAGTTGACAATTCGTTTGGTTCTTCTCTCTGTCTGGAGACGCCATTTAAGGCCGACTTGAGCAGCATTCCGATAACTCCTCGGTTCCTGATGCCGAACCAGATCGAGAACACCCCCATGGTGAAGATCGTCCGCGAGGGAATGGACACGAATTCCTCGCTGAAGAAAACGTGCGACATTCAGACGCCCAACTTCCCAATCACTCCAGGCCTAATCAGCACACCCAAGTCAATCAATTCGGTCAGTCCTCAAAGCCTCAGTGGCACCGGAGGCTTCAGCACTCGCCGTACGGATTACTCCTCCGGAAGTTCCTACTACAAGCCAGATGAATCCGAGGATCTGGACAAGAACTTGGAGGCTATGCTACACGGTGAAAGGAAGAAGCGACCGGTGGCGGATACCAGCGAGAAGGAATCAATCGAAGAGCTACCTCAACCCGAAGTAGAGCCCGTCATCGAATCAACTCCACAGAAGTCGGAACATGCGAGTGCCTCTTCTTCGGAGTCCTCCAGCAGTTCGGACTCTTCATCCGATTCCAGCACCAGCGGTAGCTCACCGGAGAATACACCGGTCAAGCAAGAATCCTCCCCAGTCTCCCCTAGTCCAAAGAAGTCTTCCGTGCCGTATCTCACCGCCTACGAGGCTCGCCGCCAACAGCTGGCCGAGTTGGAAGCTAAGAAGCAGCGCACTATTGCCCGTATGAAAATCGCCAAACCAGCACCGCCGATGAAGAAAACCGATCGCAAATTTTCCGTTCCGCCCGGTTTCAAGTCGCGGAATGTAGTCATCACTCGAGGCAAGGAAGATGCTTCTAAACCTGCGGTGTCAACGGGTACCCCTCCGCGGGCGGCAGCGTCCCCTTCGTCCAAGCGCAAAAACCCAACACCTCGGAAGGTGGTCTTCCTGGACAAAATCCTTCCGATGAGTGCCAACAAACATTCGCCCAAGCGGAAACCGCTGCCTTCGCAAGATAGCAGTCGAAAGTCGCCGCGAGCCTCGCTGTTGATTTCCGAGCAAGAAGTCCATAGGATCATAACTCCTCGAAAAGACAAAGCGATCGAAGGAACGTATGAAAGCGAAGACCTGTCGCGGCTTTGCTGCACACCCGACATACCAGATGTTGATCCGGCGGCGGATAAGAAACAGGTTTATGAATTCCACAGTCCAGAACGCGGCTGCGAAGCAGAAGACAGTTCCAAACAGCAAGGAACTCCCGATTCAAACAAGGAGAACCAATCCTTGGAAGCGGTGAAAAATTCGGATCCGCCGCAGGCGGAGGAAAAGGAGGGGGAAGAAGACGCTAGCGAAAGCAGTGACGGGGACGAAGATGACGCCTACAATGACTGTTCGTTAAGTTCGGTCTGTGAGAAGGACTACTTCTGGTTTGCATATAATGAGAAAAAGTCCTCTGTTGTCCGCTGTGAGCGGTCTTCCGAAATCCGGTTGATCAAGAAGTGTAACGTTGTGCTGGAAGATCGCAAGGTCTGTCTGCAGCCGGTGGATTCGATCTTCCTTTTCGAACAGCTTCCAAGTCCTCCTCCTTCTTCCGGCACCCGAAGCTCGTTGAAGAAAGCCAAGACTTCCGCTGGTGAGAAGGATCCGAAACCGGAGGTGGCTGTTGCGGTTCCACCAGCATCGACAATGAAAGCGAAAATAAATGTCGTCTCGGCAGTACGGAATTCGGCCCATCCGGCTACCAGCGGACGGGCGGCGCACCTGTTGGCCGAAAAGCAGAAACGCCAACAGGAAGCGGCTATCGCTACCAAAAAGGACAAACTCGACCATCCGACGGACAAGGTACACACAGAGGTTCCCCAGGCGGAAAGCTCCGGCAAAGCTAGTGAAGAGAAATTGTAAGTAGTTTGGCGTTTCGGCAACACTCCCCCCTATTCTGTGAGTCACATGACTCTCTCCCTCACCGGTGACGTGGCAATTGTCACCTTATGTGAGGTGACTCTCCATTTGATTTACATTGGGAGTCACCTCACACGAGGGGTACTGACTCTGGTGAGGTTTTAATTTTTTTTTTTGTATTTTCCAGAGCTTCCCCATCGCCAAAGATGCCCATAAAGTTGGACATGAAAAAGAAGCAACAACAACAACAGCAGCAGCAGTCCCAGGAGCCATCGCCTGCTAAACCGACGGCTGGTAACACTGAACCGGTGGATCCAGCGCCGCCACCGGCGCCGGTGGAAGATGCCGACCCACAGTTGCAGAAAAATATCCTAGAGGACGATATCGATGCGGTTCTGACGCATCTTCATGGATCGTAATTTACAGTAATTATTTGGAATAAGTTCACATTTACATAGCGAGAAGAATGTCCTTGGTTCAAGGACAGTTTAGGAAAGGACTACATTTTTGGTATAGTTGACATTCTGTTTTCGAGGTATGTTAGTTGTATAACGCCCCTGAGATCAAAAAAAAAACGCTTATGGTTTATTATAGGTACACATATATTTCTATACATATATATGGATAAGGCCGACCCTACCTACTTTACATATTCAATAAACCGTCGATGAGCAAGTAGATTGTGTTGATGGTGGGTAGTAAGTTCATCCGAAAATTCAGATTTGGTGGAGGAACGTTTCCCAGAAACGGGCTTTTAATTGTGTTTAATCACGGAGATTTTTTTTTTAAAGAGACTTTCAGCCTTGGGCTGGTTCGTCTCTAAGAATCCCAGATAAGGATTCCCCTATTTGAGGGGGGGGAATTCCAGAGGGAAACATAGTTTGGATCCCAGAGGTCATTTCCGAAAAGGGCGTGGCCCCCAGAAACAGAGTTTTTAGCTACGGATTTTTTTAAATTTGGTAGCCCTGGAAGGGAACCTCCGAAAAGAGGGTGGGCTCCAAAAGGGGGTCCCTTAGTTGCTTAGTGGCTGTCTTAATACTGTCATTTTGTTGGAGAATTCCGTTTTCGTTGCGTTGGTCTGTATAGTTGCTGATGTGGGTGGTTAGTGAGATTCAGGTTCCGAGTGTGATCTGGTATGGTGGTGATGGTGAGTTATGTGATCAGATTAGATCGAACAGCCCAGCTTCCCGCAGGAAAGCTAGAAAGGCTGTAATTCTGGTAGGATCGTCACCGAGAGCATCGCGGATGCTTCCCGGGATGTCGTAGCGGGTTCTTGGTGCTTCGTATTTCGGACAGTAGCAGATAATGTGATCCACCGTGGTACGTCTCCCTTGTAGTTGTGGGAGATGTTTATATGTGTTCAAAGTCGCGATACAATGACCTGCTCTCGATGTAACGGTGGGTCCGCCCACCTGGAGATGTCTCTTTTAATTTTTCTGATGGCAGTGTAGTTGATCATGCAACGACCTGAGTTGGCTAGTTGGTCCGCTTTTATGTTACCATGGACCCCGCAGCGTCCAGGTATCCACACAAAGTGTTGTTTGACGCGTGTTCCTATATCGCCTGGATCCAAGCGTGTTTGCTCGTATCGGATTCCAGTGCGGCTACCACCTTAGCGGAGTCAGTGAAGATGGCTATTGGTCGGTCGTCGGGAATGGTGGCTGTAATGAAGGCGGCAATGACTTCCGCAGAGAAAATGGAGCACTGATCCGGGAGTCTATGGCATTCCGCGAGTTTTGGGCCGAAAATCCCGATTCCTACCTTTCTCTGGGCTACCGAACCATCCTAGTACCGAATGGTGTATCCTCCGTATTTCCGGTTCTGGAGTTCGAGTACCACTTGTGCCACGCACCAGCTCTAAATAGGTGTTTGATTGTGTGGTCGGTCAGAATCTTCGGCTTGTTCCAACCCCTCGCTCCGACCCAGTAAACTTCAGATATTGGGGGAGAGTCGGGTTGGATGCTTCCCTGAGTGAATTGTTCGCCTCCGTGAGGAGGAAATCTTCCTTGTCGTCTCCTGATGTCTGCTGATAAATTCCGATGGCTCGTTGGCAGATAGTTTTGGAGATAAAGCCATCAAAGGGGAGCAGTCCTCCTTCGATGCAAGCAGCTATTCCGGGGGTACCTGGCAAAAGACCCGAACAGATTTGGAGAGGTTGTTGATAGACCGGCGCTAACTTTTCGATCAATCGGGGCTTGGCAAGGAACGTAGCTTCGATTCCGTAGGTTAGGCGTGAGTTGATGATGGCTTTCGCCACGTTCAGTCGGGATCTTCGGTTGGCATTTGGATGTCGTCCCGCTAGAGTTTTGAGCAGGTTGATACGCTGTTTGCATCCGTTTTTGACATCGCTGAAGTGTGTGTGTCGAAGGTGAGATGTCGGTCAAAGCAGACCCCGAGGATTCGGATCGTTTTCCGAAACGGAATTGGGTCTTCTTTGATGCAGACTTTGGTGCTGAGGACTTGGTGTTTTATCGGACAGATGTGGGTGAATCCGATCCGCGCGATATTTCATGTAAATTTAAGCGGAATATCGCCTAAATTAGCAATATTGTATGCAAGCTTGTAAACGATTTTGCTGTTTATGCCAAGTATAAATATAGCTCAAAATTAAACGAAGGAAGATTTTACGCGATAGGGGAAAAGTTGGCTTCGGCAATACCTTAACCTATTATCGTCAGGGGGGTGAACAAATTCCTAGAGCACTCAAATTTGGCCAATAGTTGCTCAGAAACACAATGTATCCACATGCCAAAATTGAGCTCTCAAGGACGTTGTTTACCCCCCTGACGATAATAGGTTAAAGCCTAGGGGCCAGACAGCTTTAAATCATGAGTAATTTTTAAGCAAATTTTGAGTAGCTCTGAGTTACTCGCGCAGCTCAATGATGAATATCGTTGTCAACATGTCAACACAGACAAACAGACGTAACTCTTTGAAAAAGTTTTTCTTGAAAACTTAGTATCTCAAAACATATGACCTCAGTAACGACATCTCTCGGGCTTCTCGCGGAAAACAAGCTTGCTCGCTAGCTCGCAAACAATATTGCATAGTGGCAAAGTGATCCGATGCCAGCGGTGCGGCGAGTAGTTCGCGGAACTGATACTGTTCAAATCAACAGTTAAATGCGTGAACGAAGATAAACAATGAAGTGTTACGTCTGTTTGTCTGCGATGTCAATATGTATCGCAGCAACTCAGTCAACGAGAGAAAAGTTTTGAACGAGTTATGTGTCACTCACCGGTGAAAGTTCAAAACAATTTTGTAATCTGTTGATACCTTGTCGTAATTTTCTTTTATTCTAGCGTATCAGTTGCATTGCTGGAATTTTGCATAACTTTAATTACTTTGGTCAGCCATGATTAAAAAACAAGTCGCTTCTACCATAGAATTATTCCAGACATCGCAGCTTGTCTTGTCAGTGGAAGTGGCACACCGACAACCCTGCCATTAGTTCCTGAAAATCCATGAAACTAATCAGTTGTAAATAAATAAAACATCATCATTTATTTCTTCATAACTGCATTTAAGGACAATTTCGAAATTTTGAACATATTTGAAAGATATAACAGCAATTTATAAAATAACGAATATTTTGAATGGCTCGAGTGACACTTGCCTTTGATAAAAAACACGTCTACTGAGGATTCATATTTATGAAAAAATCATATATCAATGAAACAGTCATCGGTCGTCATTGAAAAGCAATGCAACTATGTTTTGTCAATCTAATTGACTTTTATTGGTTCTGTTGTCTTGTGAATTTTAGCTAAAACGGCCTCTTTTCTGATTTTTATCTCTCAATCTATGAAATAAACACGAAAACTATGTTGGAATGAAACTTCTAGAACAATATGAGGAACATTATGCCGTACACTACACATTTTTATATCATACGGGTGGAAAATTCGTAGAACAAATACTTTAAAATTCTTCACATTTTAAGATATCTTCGAGCATGAAACTAAGTCAAAATTCAATAAAATCACTTCGAATAGTCAACCTTTGGCCACAAAGTTGGTAGATAACACATTAAGCTTTGCTATGAAAGTTGTTACAGCAGCTTTCGTTGTTTCAGTCTCGAGATACAAATATTATAAGCCGTAAATTACCTTGAAAACATAAAATTAACTAGAAGCACCTCTAAATCAACACCGATTTTGCTGAAAATTTGCACAAAAGTTCAAATTAACATGACGAACAGTAATCACGGTTGACCCGTTACATTCCGAACATTTCGTTTAAAATGAACAGGTCTAATGCCGGTCTTTATATTTTCTTGGGTTCTGGTATTCTGTACTTGAGTGCCGTAGTAATTGAGCCTTGATATTCTTATCTTGTTGTTTATCGTATATCCACCCAGCCACTGGGGGGCAATGTGGCCACTGCAACTACTCTCTTGTGGATGCTCTTCGTGATGAATCTTGTCGTTGGCTGTACTTTCTCGACCGCTAGATTGCTCATTCTCCTTATCATTCCATGTAGGCACTTCTGTGTCAACGGCGACCAACGTTTTTTTTTTTTCTTTCCTGTGATTTATGATCGTTGTATTCTTCAAAACGACATCGTCTTGATCTAAAGAAAATAAAATCGCCACTCGATCAAGCCAAATTCAAAGGAAGTGTCTGTGTGATGTCGCATTCCAAAAGTTTTGAACCAAATGAAAAAAACGACAAGGGACAGCCCTATGGGGTTGTACACAATGTTGACGTAGGACTACACGCAGGGAAAATAACATAAGAAAACCAAAATTCAAACATTATGAAAACTCAAAAATGAAGGAAAAAAATCTTTCATACGTCTCTTATGCGTTTCATATAAAATCTCAGTTTTCATTATTTGGACATAAGCCATTCATGCGCCACAGGTTTGAATTTCATAATGCGCTTTTTGAAATTTGGAAGAGTGTTCATTTGAAAAAAATCATAAGGAACGTTATAAAATTCAGACCGTTCAGACCCAAAATTCAAGATGGAAGTGGTTATCGAAGAGCAAGCGTTGCTACAGGATTTCTTAAATGAAGTTCCTGCCGATTGTTTGACGTTTCTTAACGGTAAGTATACAATATTTATTAATTTGATTGTTAATATTTCATAACAAATCGATAGGAATCGGCTATAACACAACAGGATTGCTAACCGTAACCGAAACGTATTTTAAAACCAGCCTTGAACCGTTTCCAAATTTTTGTGGAGCTGACCAATTGTGGCATTGGATTTTGGATTGGAGACGGCGAAACGTAAGTTATCTATTTTCTTCATTACTCGACATCTTCGTTAATTAACATTAATTTAATAGCAGCAGCGAACAAAACAGTTCTCCGTTAAAGGTTTTTAACTGCAAACGTATTTATTAATACAGAATTAATAATGCTTATATTCAAACGCAGATTCAGTACGACGCGCACGGAAGTGGTGAAGGAAGCAGCAGTGCGAACAGTGAGGCGAACAATAACGAGATTTCTGGCATAAAAAAAGGCTAAGAACCCATCGGTATCATTGGCAGAGGTTTGTTAGAAAATTATGAATTAATATTTTTAATTTTTCCTAAAAATATTTTTTTAGAGTAAATTTCACTATCTCACTCCAAATGTAACACCTGCTTGCTGAATTCGTATTCGGCAAACAAGTTTTGAAGTGTGCTGAAATTCAACAACTGTCGCCGGCTGGC